AAGTTTATTGTAAAACGCTCACCATCCACTGAGTCAGCCGCAGCTCAACACTGTTGTCCAGTATATTATCAGATCAAACAGTTTGAGCCCCTTATCATGGGGTTGCAATTACTTAAAACATAGAGAGCAGCCAATATCTTGTAAAAATAAAGTGGTACCATACTATATCCTGTATTCTTGGAGATCATTGAATTTATACCAAATAATAATTTTTTTGTCTTTAACAATAAATATTACAGACAGATTTTTGGTTCTGCCATGGGATCGCCTTGCAGTCCTATATTGGCAGAACTAGTCATGCACAATTTAATTAATGATTTACTTTTTACAAGCCCCATTCCAATTGCATATTTTAAAATTTACGTCAATGATATTGTAGCTTGTGTTCCAAAGAACAATACCAAGGATATTTTACTACTTCTAAACTCATTTGATAATCACATTAATTTTACAATAAAAGAACCCAAGAATAATTCTATTAACTTTCTAGATACAACTTTACATTGGGATAGCTCAGGTAACATTAAAACGAATTGGTTTCAAAAAGATACACACGCAAACTCATATTTGAATTATTTTTCACATTCACCTGTATCTCAAAAAATAGGTGTCGTCTTTTCCTTGGTTGACCGTGCCATTAAATTATCTGATGAATCTTTTCACAAACAAAATTTAAAAAAAGTTTCTATTATTTTACAGGCTAACAACTATCCGATAGAATTTATTACTAAATACACAAAAGTTCGTTTGAAAAAAATTAAATTTCAATCTACGGGCGAGACCATATGTGATAATGTGAATTTCTTACCTAAAGATTTTGTAGTGTTACCATACATAAAAGACTGTGATAAAATTTTAAGAAAAGGTTTTAATAAGTTCAATATAAAAGTAATTTTCAGATCTGTGTGTAAATTTAATTTTTTAAATAATTTAGGAAAAGATAGCGTTGACACCACCGACAAAGTGTGTTCCGTTTATGGTTTCAAGTGTAAAAACTGTGATAAGCATTATGTGGGACAAACTAGTAGACCTGTTGATACTCGAACGAAAGAACATGAACGCGATTGTATTAACGAGAGAGATTCGTCTGTAGCGTATACACATATGAGAGATTATGGTCACACTTTCGACTTCGATTCAGTACAAGTACTCGACCAAGAAATTTTGTTATTACAGACGTTTAATATCAGAAATGGTATATATCACTAAGTTAAATACTGTAAATAAGATTACTGACACAAATGATTTAAGTACAGTACTTACTAAGTACTCAGAGACTTGAAAAGGACTGCCTTAAGTGCAGTCGAAACGTTGTCAACCGAATAAAAGACTGAACAGTAAGCCCTTGGAGTTTATTAATTCTTCGTATCATTTTCACTGTTCTTGGAGTCCTCTTATTGAGTACTATAAACTTTAAAAATTCCATTTCAAACTTTTCCATTTCAATCGTACCTC